TAGCAAACATTATCACATACATTTGCAAGATGGATGCTAATGTATGGTATGTAATTTTTCATGAACTTAGGTTAGCTAGTGACATTAACAATAACAATAGGAGTCCAGGTGAAGAAGCTTCATGAAGAAGAGGATCAGACACAAGTGGTCATCAAACACCCCTGCAAGGCCAAGAGGCAGACTGGGGTTGGGGATGAAAACATAACAATGAAAAGAAAAGAGGCTAAAGTATTGCCACGGTGCCCCCGTTGTAACATTTGTTATAAATGCTTGTTTTAAACACTTAGTTTAACACTAATATATGTGATTTGACGAGGATGAAGTGGTGAGCAGTAACATTGTAACATTGTATGTGGCAGATTGTAAGGCAACTTTATCACGAGGACTACGTTTTGCTCATCAGAGTTGTGTTTTCAAAGGTTTTTTCTGTTGTGGCCATAGATTATTATTTAGCTTTATGCGCAATTATGTTGAAACTGTCTTCAAAACCTCTTCCATTACGACATATGTTTTGGGGGTGTTTGAAAATCCTCATTCGCCACGCCATAAGCAAGTTTGGTGTGTCATCAGTAGTGTAGTTTTTGGACAAAAATTTGTTTCCCCAATAGTTACGTTTTCTTTTTGGGAAAACCATATTGGAGAGATATCTATTTTTTTTTCCAATTTTTAATTTGGTGTTCATTTGTTTTTTCCTTTAACAACATTAATTCTTATAACTTTGTTCGATTAGAATATCTATGAATTTTTTCAGACCATAACACTTTCTTTAAGTCTTGTATAAAAATCACTTACTAAAATTTCCTTTTATTAGCATCATCAGTTTTTTAATTTATTAAAGCTATTCTACTAGCCTTTTGGTTGCGGGACTAATTTCATAAATTATTACAACCTTTCAACCATTTAATCTCATTTTTGTGTATATTTTTGAGGTCTCTTGCTAATTTAAATAATTACACCAAACAGTATACTTTTTACCAGCAATAACCTTATAAATTCCATTTAAGCTGCCTCAGGGGTATTTTATATTCATTTCTTTTCACAAAAGAGTTTTTGAATATTATTTCTCATTTTTTTTTAGATTTCCTTGGAAATTTTCTACATACTTTTCATTTTTACCTCCTGTTGGCCGTAACTTTTTGAATTTATAATTTAGTCTCTACTTGGACTTAACCTTATAAACCATCTTGTTGAGGCGTTTAACTTAACTTTGGCCCGTATCTAGCCTCTTTTCTCTTTCTGGCCATCGAGACTTTACTAAAGCCTCTAACTTTGATTACACTTTAGCCCCTAATCATTTTCACTTTACAGTTAGTCCTTGAAACTGCTTTAACTTTCTTTTTCTTCTTTGAGACCTTTGCTAAAAAAGAGTTTGGTAGCCTATCCAATTTAGACATTTCTGGTATTTTTAGGCCTAAAAGGGGATGTTACAATTTGGCACCACATATACTATCTCAATAGTATTGATCATTGCTTTATTATTTACCAATTGTAAATGAAAACCAATTATAAAATACAATACCATAATTAGTACTACATGATGAATAAATAAAAATGCAAAATGTTCCATTAGGTCCTATTCATTGGTGGTTTTTGGTATAGCAACAAATTTTCAAAAATTGGTTCATGGTCCTACAACCCCAATAAAAGTCTCTAACCATTATAAAGAGCATTAACCATCCAAAGCATTATAGAGAAAGCAAAATGATAAGTTTAGCCACATTTTGTTCCTATCCCTAAATCATAGAACTTCTTTAAAACACTCATGGAATTTATTTCTAAAGCATATGCAGAAGGCAACACAATTGACATGAATTCGGATATATCCTACAATATACCATAAAGTTAGTTTTAAATAGTGAACTCATTGAGGATTAGCAAAGAGGGAATTAATTGAGTTTGGAATATTATTTATAACTTACTTACATGATATACACATAGTAAAACTCTAAATCAGTTACTCCAAATAATGATGCAAGTTATGAAAAGGATTGATTAAAGTTAGATTAATGATTAAGAAGAACAAAAGAATAGAAAACAAGTGGTTTTGTGATAAAATTGGAAAGAATTCAACCTCTCCTTAACCTTTGTGTATTTTCAGCCAAACCTAAGGATTGAGTTAGGGTTGGATTTTATGATTTTTCATGCTTTTAATGTGCTTAAAGTGAAAAATTGTGTAGTGTACAAGTGAAAAAGTAAGTTTGCAACCATTAAAATTGAAAATAGAATATTTATCCTAAAACCCTACATGTTTTGCCCAATGCTTATTCATGGAGAAGGAGTTGGATTTTATAAATTTTGAGGTTGGAAATAGATTCTACATACAAAATTATGTGGGAATGCCACATGGAATTAATTTTAGAAAGATTAGATTGGAAGTCCAAAAATTAGAAGTTAAAGTATGTTCAAGAGAGCTATGTCTAGAAATGGCTTATTGTTATGGCTCTAATAAGTGAACGGTACAATGTTAATATAATTAGGGCCATGTGATGTTAAGGAAGATGAAGAGAAAAGTTAATCAATCAACTTCAAGGATTGGTTGCAAAGGAACCAGAGAAAGGATGTGATAAGTTAAAGTAGTAAACTTTACCATACTTTTATCTACTTAGCATTTGCTTGAATGTATAACATGTTTGTTTTCTTTGTGATTCTATGAACTCATGCTTTTGTATGTGATAATAGTTGAAGCATGTCATGGGTCTATGAGTTTTATGATTAATGCATGATAGTTTCCAAACATATCATTATGTCATGAGAATGTTAAATTTACAAGCACGCTATAAATACCAAGCTATGCCTCATATATTTGAGTGGTAATTGTTTGCTACTAAGATTCTCTTGAATCTCACCCTATCCTAACCATCCATAATAGGTATTATGTGTCAAGATGAAGAATGCGTGATGAGGATCAAAAGCAAGAAGAGAAGAATTAGAGAAATATGTTTATTTATTATAATGTAATATTTCTCCTTTATCTTGATATATTCATGAACATGCCTATGATGTTATATAATGATGAGCATTGAGAATAGCATGTAAGATTAAGCATGATGATACTTGAGAATGATTTATGGAAATGGTTGCATGCATGCTAATGTTTGTTTATAGCATGCTAATTTCAATAGGAGAATAAACATTTCAACAGTGACCAGCATAATTGAGACAGAGCAAAAGTGAAGCAAAGAATAAATCTACCATGATATTTTATAAGTAACAATACACACTCTAAGCTTCAAAATGAGTAGAAGATTACCTAACCTGGATATATGCACTAAAAGATATGATTTTCACAATTAGAATAGAAAAACTATAAAGTACTATTTGACCAATGAATAGTACATCTTCACATTATTTTTCTGTATTGAATAGGCAAGTAAATGAACCAAAAAGTATTTTTTTTTCCTATAGAGAATTAAAAGAGCTTTAAATGGAGACTTGAATCACCTTAATACAAACTTTTTTTGGACTAAAAAATTAGAATTTACCAAATGAATAATAATCCGAGAATAAAAATATAACTTTTCAATGCATGGGCTTGAATACATACTAAATAGGGGTTAAATGATAGGTGTTAGCCTATCTTGACCAAATTGACCAAAATTTTGTCAATAATACAACATCTTTAATAATGTTATAAAACTCAAGGCAATTTTCATTAGGCGTAGAGCAAGTAACTATGGATTAGTTTCAAAATAAGATAGGTATTAATGGTCTCTCTAGTAAACCCCTATATTGGAGTAAACCAATTACTTCAGACATCGTTGGTCTAAGTGTAGCAGATTCTTGGGTGCAAAGTAGGCCAATTTCTATGATTTTCTTTACTTCTTCTGCATCATAGTCATTGGATTCCAAGGTATTGTCCACCAACTCTAAAGGTGTGCCACTTGCATATAGTTTCCAAGCCTACAAGTAGGATCAAAGTGAAATGAAATAAGAAAAGGGAAGAAAAAATAATACAAACTGATGTTTTACCCCAAAAAAAAAAAACGTTAGTTCTTGTTCCTTTTTAGAAAAAAAAATAGAATTATCATTCTTAAAAGAGTTAATTGTTTTACTGACTTTTTAAAAAAAGCCTATTGCATGTAAACTTCCTAAAATGACTGAATTTTTTTAATAGTTATTTTCTTACCTTTTGTAAAAGGAATTCACCTTCAACATCATCATTAACCTTCAATTCCTTACTTTTTTGACCACTGATTATTTCTAAAACAACCACACCCATAGCTGTAGACATCAACCTTCTCAGATAGTTGGCCATGAATTGCATACTCTGGTGCTGCATATCCTCTATAATATGCATAATAATTTTAACATTATGGATCCAAAATAACATGCATGCATGTGCATAAACATAAATTTTAAGTCACAATTGCTTATAGACATGCATGTACAATATAATATTGTGCCATGAAAATGGATACGAACTCTTTTTTAATATTCATGCTTTACAAAGAAAAGAGAAAGTTTAAATTATTTATTAGTGTAGCATAGGTATTCTATATATCATCCTTAATATACATCTTGGTTAATGTGTGAAGTATTCATGTATTATATTAATAGTTAAAATAATTAGACAAATATAATTGATTTAACTTACAATGTTCCTGCAAAGTTTGCACTAAGATGATTTTCTCCTCATGTAAAAGTCTTGCCAATCCAAAGTCAGCAATTTTAGGCTGAAGATCATCATCTAAGAGGATGTTATTAGGCTTTATATCTCTATGTACTATACGAATATGTAATTCTTCATGTAAATAGGCCAAACCCCTTGCCATGCCTAGAATTATTCATATCATATCGCTGCTTCCAGTTGAGAAAACCTTCCTTTTACCTGTTTTCAAGCTTATAAATGATGAGGGCTAGCAGTGCAAAAGTAGAAAGAATCATGATGAAATAATGCTCAGGAGATAGAAGACAATTATACATGTTTGCTTGTACTTAACAATATTTTTGTAATTATGTGGTTTGGTTAAAATATATGCACAAGTTATAATGTGATAAAGATGAATATTAGGAAACACTTAATGAATAGTATAAAATATTGTAATTGATAGGATATTACCGAATATGAATTTGTCAAGACTGTTGTTCTCCATGTACTCATAAACAAGGATTCTATCATAGTCTTTAATACACCATCCCAAAAGTCGGATAAGGTTGCGATGATGAACATTACTGATAAGCTTCACTTCACTTTCAAAATCTTCTTGTATCCTTTTTGAGCTGCATAAATTTAATTTCTTGATTGCAACTACTTTTCCATTTTTCAAATTTCCCTGTTTATTAGAATTAAGAATTTCAATTATGAAATTATGTTCATGACTTGTGTAAGAGACAACTTAAGTTTAGAGAGAACATGTTTTTGATTAAAAATATTGGAAGTACAAGAAATCTACCTTATATACAGCACCAAATCCACCCTCTCCTAGTTTATTTTGTTCCCTAAAATTATTAGTTGCATACTCCAACTCGTTATAGTTGTAAGTAACCAGACCATTCAAATTGGTTGCTTCAATTATGTCTCCTGTTGGTGAAAACATCAATTAGATATGCTTCATAAATTAAAAAGGAAAAAACCATTCATTCTTAGAAATAAACATCCATCACTCACTTTTTCATTTATGTAAAATATTAAAACCAAAGCATCATGTTTAGCCTTTTAAAACTAATACATACATATATATTAATTGTAAACCTTTCAAATAGTATTTACCTATGGAAGCCTTAGTAGTTTTTGGTAGTCTAATCCAAGCAAATAATGCAAGAAGGATAAAAGCAAATGCTGCACCTCCGAAAACTTCACCAATGATAGCCCCTTTATCCCTTGAACCTGCAAGGGAAAAAAACTATCCAAGTTAACACTAATTAACATGATGCATATCCAACATAAAGTTTAAAAGTACATACAAACAATTAAATTGTCATATGTTGCAATTAGGTATTATATTTAAATCCTTGAATGAATTGTGTAATATCCCACATTTTAGGTCTAGAGATATAAGAAATAGCCTAAAATAGGCAAGTTATTGGATCCTAATTGGCAGGAGTCCCAGAAGTTTTCTAAAAGAATAAAAGAATTCTCAAGGGACTAATTTGCAAGGTGAAAAGTTTTCTAGAATCGAGAAATAAGAAAGATAGAGACTCTAATAAAGTCTCGAGTGCTAAGTAAGAAGAATGAGAATGAATATGAGCTAAAGATTATACTTAAAACCTCAAAGGGATGATTCTTGAAGTTAAACCCTAGTAGAGACCTACTTGTAATTTTGAAAGGTTTCAGGCCGAAAAGGTTATTGATGGAAAGTATGCCTGAAAATTTCAAAAAATGGAAATGAGGTGTTTAGGCCCATCCAGGTTAAAAATGAATGAAAATACCCATGAAATGGATTTTTAATAAATTGACTAAAATTAATTATTTAAAATATAAGAAGGCCTAAAATAGTTAGACAAAGATGGGAAATAATTATTTAAAGAATTACGTAAGATTGTAAAAGTACCCCCAACCCTTAAAAGAAAAGAGGTTAGCTTTAGAATAATTTAAAGCCGAATTTTACAGAGAGGAGGGTATCTCGAGAAAGTCAAAATAGACTACTCATAAGTTAGAGTTTGACTTGAAAAAAATTAGACAAATTCTTCATGAAAAAAAAAGTTAGCAGTACCCAAAAATAGATTCTCGGAGTTATGGACTGATAGAAAGAATTTGGTTAAATTTACTCTGACATAAATATTATTAAATGTTTAATAGAGAGACAACAGGAAAAGCATCTCTCTCTATCTGCATGCATATATAATGCCATGTGAAATTATTTGTGAAGAAAAGGGTGTCAAAACATGTCCTAATAGTACCCGGATAGGTCAGGACCTGAAAAAAGTACTCGATATAGTATAAAATTGTGAAATAAGTGCAGGAATAGTCAAAGGTGAGAGGGAGTATGAATTTCTCTCTATCTTATTTCCTATTTTAATGTTAATTTAATGAGGGGACATGAAAGGATATACAATTTGTCTAAGGTATAATTGAAAAAAGTTAAATTATAATAAAATATTGTTTTTATAATCACATGTGCATTGGTAGCATAATGTAACATCCTGAATTTTAGATTTAGAAGTACCAAAATTAACTTAAAATGGGCAAGCTATTAGACTCCCTTTTAGCAAGAGTTCCAAAAGTCTCCTGGAAAGATAAGAAGATTCCTA